GGAGGCCCCACCCCCCCCCCCCCGCCCAGCCGCAGACCCGGGGCTGACCCGAGCCACGGCTGCCCTCTGCTGCGCACAGCCCCGCTCGCCTGCACAGCATCGCCTCCGGCTTCCCAAGCCCTGCACACCCGGGGAGGCACTCGAGAAGGGGATACAGCCCTACACAGGCCCCAAACTCCGCTTCCCTGTGCTTTTTGCCAAACTTATATCTGAGACAGGCCAGAGCCTGAGCGAGGAGGTTTATAAGCCTTTGCAAAATGGGCCTTTGGCTTGGAAACCCCAAGTCAAAGCTGGCTGGGAACTGCATCCCTTCCAGAGCCACTAAGGATGCTGAGAGCAGAGGTGGGGTGGGAGCACCTCGGGAAGCAGGGGTTGTCTCAGGGTGTACTCACTGCGGCACCCCATAGGGTTGGAGTTGGCCAGCTGGGCGAACCCCGGCTTGCAGAGGTGGCAGCGGTCCCCCTGTACGTTCTCCTTGCAGATGCAGCGCCCCGTCAGCGGGTCACAGATGGAGCCCGGCACGGTGCCGTCTGGGTCGCACTCGCAGGCTGGAAACACGCAAGAAACAGCACTGCTGAGGGGTGCGAGGGGCGGACGGGGGGGTCCGAGGAAGGTGCTACGGGGGATAACTGGGCACTCACGCAGACAGGCTTCAGGATGGGCAAGATCTTGCTGGTGGTTGCGAAAATAGTTAGTTTTGCAGCGCTCACAGTTGTTGCCTTCAGTGTTGTGCTGGCAGCCGTCACAGACACCCCCGCTCGCCCCTCCACTGGCACGGTACAGCTCCAGGTCAAAGTGGCACGAGGTCGAGTGACCATTGCAGTTGCACCCTGAAAAAACCCAATAAAATGGCCCAGCTAGTGCTGCAACTGTGCAAACCCCTCCGGCAGCAGCGGCTCCGGCACTAGAGGGTGCCCGAGTCCCCTGCGTGACACAGTGACACCCGCTAACCACCCCAGGATGAAACTGGCACCAGTCGGACAGCGTGGCCGAGCACTGGTGCAGCCCGTGAGCCAGCATGGCCCGGCCACAACCCTGCAGAGCAAAGCCCTGCGTGCAAACGTGTCGGGGGCACCTTTTGCAGAGACACCCGTGTTAACATCCAGCCCCACAAAGCGTCCCAGTAAAAGCTCTTGGAGCTCGCTCCCGGCTCCCATCACTCACAGCTAGGGAGGATTTAGGAAAGGCCTCAGGAAGAAGAGAGGGAAAGGCACTCGCCGTACTCTGGCACTCGTGGGGATCGTTGTCCTCTGCGGGTGCCCACGGCCGGTCGTTGTAGAGGGCAGCGCAGCGATCGCAGTTGGGACCGGCGGTGTTGTGCTGACACACGCAGTGCCCGTGGACCTGCTGCAGAGACAACGCTTTACCTCTCCTGGATGGTAGCTGCTTCATCCTCCTGATGCCTTTCCGGCACATGCCTGGACGGCTTCTGCCCCCGTGCAGCGATGAAACTCCAGCACCCAGACCAGGCTGCTGCAGCACCAGGGACGGGCTGCTCCTCACTCGCAGAGACAGGACGATTCCCACCACCTCTACTACCTACCCAAGGACAACCATGCTCAAGACAAAGCGGACAAGCATAAGCTGGGGACAAGAAAATCCCACAACAGCTAACAACCTGCACTGGCAAATCCTCCTGGGCATGAAGGAGCCTGCTGAAACCTTCCGCGTGTCCCCCATCCAGCCGAGAGACCCAGTGCTGGCAGGAGCAGTACCTCCCACAGCCACCAAGCTTCATAACTCCTTATAAAGCCCCTCTCACCTTCTTCCCGAAACAAAAAGGGGGTTTACGTGGGGGTAGCACAGGCTGCTGTCTCGCAGCCACCACCCCATTGCTGCAGGCAAAACAAGGCATCGTTTCCCACGATTATGAGCAGCCTCTGGCCAGAGGAAAGATTCCCACACCCCACCACTGGTCATCCCAGCCAAGGTCTCCCAAGGAGCACTCCTGGGCATGTGGTGGAGCCTGATACCACACAGCTCATCTTTAGGCTTTTCGCTTCACCCCGATGCTCACCGCAGCATGCAGGTCTCCCGAGGGGGCACAGCGGTTGGCATGTCCATGGCAGAAGCAGGTCCCCAGCACAGACATCTCCGTCACGGCATAGAAGGTGCTGGGTGAGCGGTAGCCCTGGCGTGCAATGTGGGGGAGCTCAGTGAAGTTGATCCGCAGGTTGGTGAACTGCCCCAGCTCTGTTTGGGACCGAGGAGAGGCGTGAGGGGGCAGCAGGCACCCAGGCACCAGCTGCAGAAGTGCATTGCGATTTGCGTGGAAGGCTCAGAGCAAGAGACAGAGGCATCGGCACGAAGAGCAGCAGCTGAGTCAAAGACCAAACACTGCTCCTTGACACCTCGGAGGCACCAGGGCAGCAGTCTAACATGCAGCTCGAGGCCTTGTTTGCAGGGGACCTGCTCCCCTGCGGGGTTACCCCAGCTCAGCACTCCATCACAGGTAGGAAGAACCACAAGGTGCATCATCCCCCTCTCCCTTTCTCAGATATGAAAGAGGCCGGTCACTTACTATCAACGGTCTGGCTGTAAGAGGTAGTGATGGTAGACGCCAGGTCTTGGACACTGAATTTCACCTTAGAAGGAAAAAAGATAAGTTAAAAAGCAGGAAACACAAGGTGTTTTCTTCTCATGCTCTGGGCAGCGTGTGCTCTGGACCTGCCTCTGCAGAACATCACTTAACACAGGGAAAAGACTTCAGAGTTGTAGAGGATTTCGCAGGAAGACCAACATAACATCTCGCTTGCCACAAAGCAGCAAGGGCTTTCCTCCCAGAGGAGCAAGAATTCTCCTGAGGACTCCCCTCAGCAGTGCTGGATGCCCACGGGCTCCATCCCTCGCCAGGTGTAACACACGTAAAAGACTTCCAAGCCACCACGTGTTTCTGCAGCATTGCACCGCCCGCCCTGAACCCAGGGTCACAGCAGGGGGAACAGGCACGTGTGGGAGCCCCTGCCACAAAACCCCACAAATCCTACCTTGCCCCCGTGCAAAGGGTGCCCTTGCAGCGCCTGGCACCGAGCATCCTGCCAGCTCTCGGGGGAGCCCCGGGGAACGTGGGGGAACGCGGTGGCACAGTCAGAGGCCAGGTACTGGTACACCTCCCAGGTCTTGCCGAAGTCGGTGGAGCGCTCAATCAGCATTGCAGCGGGCAGTGGCGACTGCAGAGCGGGGAAAGAGGCACATCTGTAACGAGGCACACCCCAGCCGCCTCCCATCCTGGGGATGCCTGTCCTCCTCCTCCCTTCAGGCTCAGGTCTCCGCAGGCTGCTGGAGCAATCCCCTCCCCTGCGAGTTACCAGCAACTTCTGGGTCCCCCCTTCCCCTCGGCCAGCCCTGCTGCAGCCACAAAGTACACATCCGCACCAAGGAGATTTTTTCAGCAGACATTCGTGGGATGGGAACCCACCACCCTGCTCTGCTCCTCCCAAACGCCCTGGGGAATGGCCATGAAAAAGAGGGAAAAAGGAGGGATGGGGCCCCTGGTGTCCTTCCTATCAGGATCCCGAAGGGAGCTGTGCACTGAGATCCCCACATCTCGCGGAGAGCCAGCGGAGCCCATCCACTGTCATCTGTGATCTCCTCACAAGCAGAGATGCTACACACGAACCCTGAAGTGAAGCAGGATGCTGCTGAGCTGGAACGTCTGGTCCAGGTCCAGCTGCAAAGAGACGCGCTTGATGCCTGCGGGCACAGAGAGGCAGCTTCAGAGGTGCAGACTGCGGGCTTCAGGAAAATAAACCACTTCGCTGCCTGAGCCAAGTCATTTATTTCCTTCTTTCCTTCCAATCTATTGAGTTCAACACCTCCTCCTCTTCCCCTCATGCTGTTTATTGCCGGTGGCCCGGAGCTGCAGTGTCACGAGGGGACCCCAACGCGCCCAGCCGGTACTCACCACTCTGGGACTGCCACCAGCGCGAGTGCCCGGCGGAGGACAGGACGTTCTCCACGCGGTGCCCGTTGTAGGTGTGCGGCAGCCGCGAGTCGCACCTGCAGCATCTCATGCTCCACTGGAAGAGAAAGGGCACGTGGAAGCAACCGTCCCGGCTCGGATGGAGGGAAAGACCCCCCAGCAGAGCCCAAAGGTGAGGGGCCCGAGTGCAGCGTGGACTCGCCGAGGAACAAACGGCATCAGTAAAGGTGGTTTATTAGAGATCTGAAGAACCACGATCAATAAGACTAATGATATGCAGGACTCAAGTGGTCCCCTTCACACCCCATTAAAAAACACAACTTGGGTTTATGGACTAAAAACTAAAACCAAAATGCTTTTGACTAAAGCCCATTTTTGGCAAACCATAAAAAAAAAAAAAGCCTTTTTTTAAGCAAACCCCGTTTTCCACAATGACAACACTTGATAGAAAGTTCTTTGCAGCTTTTCAGGACCAGTTTGCCTTTTCCACACAGCCGAGGGGCTGTTTGGGGGAACAGAAAGGCCTTTCTCTCGCATCCAAAAGCCCCGGGTGATGCTTGCCCCCCCTGCGCTCTCCCCTGGGAGCAGAGCAGGAGCAAACAGCTCGGCGGGTGAGAAGTCAGCGGGTGGGAAGTCGAGTGGCTCAAAGTTCAGCCCTTCACTTGAGCAAGTAATTCAAGGAGCAAACAGAGATGTAGCACGGGAACGCAGGGACAGGAGAAAACAGGGTCCCCGAGGAGCAAACAAATGTCCAAATTTTGACTAACCAAGCAACGCTCTGTGCAGCCACTAACATGGGGCCTCTGGGTCCGTGTGGCACACGAGTAGGCTCAGAAATGTGTAGAAAGCAGCAGGAAGGAGATTGAGCAAGAGACAGGGAACAGGGAAGGTCTGGACATGCGCCAAGAGGAGAGGCAGGCACAGGGTGGGCAAGCAGGCTGGGCAAGGGCCACCGCAAAACGGGGGCAGAGACACTCAGGTGAGGCCAAGGTGGGGAAGGGCAGGTCCCAGAGGGATGTTAAAATAGCAGGTGACGACAGAGCCCGCAGCAGCATCCCACGGGGGACACGGGGAGGCCCCATCCGAAGCGCTTGATACCAGCTACGCTCAGAGCAGAGCAAACACAAGGGGCTGCAGATAATGCTGTCCCAAAAGCAAAAGTGACGTGAAACATTTCAACTAGAAATTGAAGTTGTCAGTGGCCCGAGCAGTAAAGTAGCCTCCCAAATGGAGCAGTGGGACATGCGCTTCACACCGACACATCCCAAAGCCCGAGAAATTGGGGAAGATCAAGAACAGTGTTTGCCAGTGATGGCAGGTGCTGGCCTTGGCGGTGCGGGGCAGGGCGGCTCAGAAAGGTTGTCCTGGGAGGAAAGCGGGTTTGGGGGAGGAGGAGAGCACGTCTGGCACAAGGTCTAACATCTGACACTGGGAAGGTAATGGGATACCCCGCCATGAGGGCTGGCAGTCCCTGGGGTGGCACAAGGTGACAGCAGAGGCATGGGCATCTTTGGACCCCAGTGATGAGATCAGCTTTCCATGGCAGAGCAGAGACATTGGGTGATAAGTGACAAGAAGCACTTTATATCCACCTCTGTGCTAAAATCTCCCCATCTGATACTTAAACAAATGAGCCGATTCCAACCCAAACACGACCCTACACACAAGCTGGGGTTGGGAGAGATCCATGCCTCGGAAAGGCAGCGGGAGGTGGTGGCCAGGGAGGCACGGTGGCACCAAGATTTCTGGTTTCCCCTTTAAAAGATTAATCCACAGTTTACACATATTTCCTTACTCCTGAAACAGGTGCACCTAAGTCAGCCAAGACTCTTATTTCTACAAAAAAGGACTCAGCTTCATAAGAACTACCTTTTTTTTATTTTAATTTAAAGAAAAATTCATGGGAAACTCTGTCCAGAGTTACCTTTTTGCTTGCTCTCGCACAAAACCACACGAGGCATAGGCTGCCTTTGAACAAAGCCCTAACTGGTACCGCACCAGAGGCAAAGCCGCCCGGCAGTTCTCCCAGCCCATGGCCGTGCTGACGCCCCGGGAGCAGATGGCACACGGCGAGGTGGCCGGGCAGCAGCAGACAGATGTGAGCTCGGATCGTGGGTTGGTTTAGTTCCTAACAAAGCCCAGACCTGACTCCGCTCTGCCCCCGGACCTGGGAACCTTTCAGCAGCTGGGCAGATATTGAGGAGAGATCCTCACTTAAAACTGATCTGTTTCCATAATATTTGCCACAGTCTTTATGTTCTCTGTCTATAAATATCCCAGAACAGGAGTTGGCTAACTACAATATTTATAACAATATTGCAGAGTAAGCAAACAGAGAATGCAAAATATATAATCATGCAATTTCCCTGGCTCTACCAACTCCTCCTGGCTCTGCCAGTAAGAATGAGAAATAATATAATCGGGGCCCAGGCAGAAGAACTCATTTCAGATAATGACTACTAGCAGCAAATTGTCAGGAAGCTACGGGAATTATCCACAGAAATAACCTAGTGAACAATTCCCAATAATGATTAAACTTCACAACAGTTCTGACTGTGATTAGCAAAGGGAGAAGGCAGGCTTTCTGCAAGGGGAAAGGTTAATCTCGGCTAAATTATTCATTAGGAGTGATTCATGCATACTTATTAGACCATTCACACAGCCAGAGACACAAGTGCCTTCTAGTAGCTACAATTCAATGTTGGCAATGAAGCTGCAGCCACACTTGAAATGCGTCGCTAAGTAAAAATGAAGCTTAAACTGTCTGTGAGACCGACCCTCCCCATGCAGCCCGGGGGCTATGCTCGGTGCAAAAATCTTTGCCTTTTTTTCCCCCCCCAGCTTTTTAATTAAGGCTAAAATTAACACTGGAAGCAAAATTCATTTCACATCCTTCGATCAAATTGTGAAATCCCTCTATTGCACAACAGGAGGATTTGCTATTACTGACTGTGACTATGTGTCTCAAAGTTCCTCGGGGCAGAGGGAATTACTAAAAATGACAGTCCAGCACCGGGCTGGGGGGAGATTCACCAAGCGCACACCTTTCCCCAGCTCTCCCCTTCTTTTTTTACCAGCATAGCGACAGACTCAGTAGATCCCTCAGAGCTGGGCTTGCCAGGAATAGACCAGGGCTGCGGGAGTACGTGACAATTGGAAATGAAGAGGTCACGGTCTAAGCTGGGTCACTGAACCCTGGGGCAGCCCCAGCCCTGGCTTTCCAACACGTCGTCCCCCCCTGCCAGGCACCAAAGGCCCCAGCCCACGTACTGCTGCAGCAAAAGAGAATCGGTACGTGTTTGAGTAGGTATGGCATGTGGGGCTGAAAAGGTCTACAGGAAGGCAAAAGTAGTTGTAGGTCTGCATGGAAACCACCAACCCCCCTCTGCACCTCCAACCTACTCTTAAGAGTCACCCAAAATACGGGTTAGGGAGGTTCAGAAATTAAAGGAAATTCCTTCCAGCTTTTTGAAAGGTAATTTGGAAGGCAGTTGTTTTAGAGGAAAAGCTAGCGCGTTGAGAATAAACCGTTCTTTTTTTGGAATTAATTGGGGGGGGGGGAATCCATGTAGAAGAACAACCAGGTATTGTAAAAATGCCCGTATATTACGTCACGCACCTGGGACACTTCTGCACGGTGTGTGCAGGGACACGGGTGCAGACCCTGCCCTCGCCCGTGCGCTCTCCGCAGCTCTGCTGCGGGTTTTTGCTGCTCTTCTCCTCCTGCTCTGACCTTGTGAACCAGTTGCTGGTCAGCCTCCCATGCTTCCCCACTCATGCATGGGCAGAAAACCACAAACAATTTTAAGCTGATGGACTCAGACCAAAGTATTTTAAGTAACTCTAGCTGCCATTTTAATGAATAGAGAGCCCTTGAAATAAAACCTCCTGGCATAGGTGCACAACCCAAAATAAACTGAAGTTATTCATCAGCAAAACTGGGAAGCTGCTTCTCTCCAGTCATGAAATGAAGACCTTTCGTAGCTGCGGAGACCTTGGTGGTCCTGCGTTTAACCCAGCTCCATGTCAGTGAGAGGCACTGTGTCAGTCAGGCTCCTGGCACGCAGCCTCCCATATGAGAGCCTTGCGTGGTTTTGCACAATTAATATTGTATAGGGACAGTAATTACTGTTCCAAGTTTATTTGGGGACAATCTGGAAGGCAGTGGGAATTTATATGCATACAGAGAAATTGAGGGTTATTAAGAAATAGGGCGGGCAGCAAGAAGAAGTTACCCTAGGAACAAAAGCACCTGTTAAAGCCAAGTTATGCAATTCTCTATTCCAACCCATTTTCATTCCCTGTTAACACTAGCCGTAGGACATCGCTACACCAGGCTCACAGAGCTGGGCTCGTCTTGCCTGTGAAGTACTCTATACATTTTCCATGGGACAACATGTTAGAAGTTACCCATGGTTATGCCGGCGTGGCTAAACTTCTCAGTGAGCAATTGGTGTTTGCGAAACTGGACTGCGCTGCGATTTTGAAAGATAATCTCTTAGCCATAACATCTAATGTCACATCCTTGCTTGGCCAGTCAGAAGTGACACTGGGAAGTGAGCTCTGAGGTTATGCTCAAAACACAAATAGAGGGCTCTGACCCTCAGCTTGGTTTTACCAGTGACCCCCAAATTCAGAGGTGACAGCGGAGATAGGGGAGAAGACGCAAGCTGGACAAACATCCTAGGTATGGTGTTTAAGGAAACGAAGTTCATTTCTCTTGCTTAAAAGCAAGCACGTGGGTGCCTGTTTTCCTCACCCCGTCTGTTCTCACATCATCTCCCCTCACTGAAACTTCATTTAAAATCTGCCAGGATGACAGTCTGCAAAACCCATGCTGCACCAGCTTATCTCCACACCCCGCACGCATCACCGCGGTCCTATTGCCTCTGCAACTTGTCTGCGAGAGAATGACGTGATGTCTCTCAGCATATGTATCAATTTGCAGTTGTGTGGCAAAAGAAGATACAGAGAAGGGAGGTGGAGGAGGAAAAAAAAAAAAGGGAAATAGGCTATTTCTTCTGCACATTCACTACAGGTAGGGACATATCCCTGCAGGGAAGAGCAGGGTGTGTCTGAATGCCAGAATAAGATGAGATAAGCACAGAGCAGCCCCATATCACCTTCAACAGGTCTGGAATACAAACTATTCAGTGCAAACCCTCGACATTATGAAGCAATACCTAAAACTAGAAGCCCTGCTTTGAGCAGGGGGTTGGATCTCCTGCAGTCCCATCTGACCACAGTTATTTCACGATTTCATGGATGCATTTTTCTGTGTAAAAGACTTGAGTTTGACTGATGACGTGGGTCTGGAAAGCAAATGAGCTGGGAGGCACAGTGGCTTTCCAACATGCTCTCCCCTGTCCCAACATGCCTAGGGCCCACTGAAGCACCCGGCAGGCAGCGTGTTTTGGATCAGTACTGAGCTCCCTGACCAACTCATGCAGGCGGGCAAGCAGATGTAACCATCAGACGGTAGCAATAAGGCAGACAGAAGCACTAGTCTTGCACATATTCTCTTTCACAGACACTGGCCTGTATTTTTGGAAGCAGCCAAAGACAACTGAGTGCTGAGACACCACAGGGAGAGATGCTGCAGACCAACCCCTGCCAGGCAGCTGCGACCCTCCGTCAGCAGGAGGAATCCTCTGCCACACCAGGAGCTCTCCTGCCCAACAGGCTCACACTGCCCTGCCGCTAACTCATTTAGGGATTAGGCTTCTCCGGTACCTCTCCCCTCGATCCCTATCTGGATGACCCCATGTCACCACTGACACAAGGGGTGGTAAAGGTGACTTGCCACCCTTCGTTGCTCACATCCGCCAAGTGCCCATGAAAAGCAGGTGAGAGCAGGCAGAAAATCTTGGTCCTTGAACTTATGCGAACAACATTTTAATATCCAAAGTCTCCCAGGGTCAGGGCGTGAGGATCCATGTAGTCACCACACACACAAGCTGCTCCACTGTAGGATGCAGGAAACAGAGCAGCAACACAAGCACAAGGACACCCAACTTCATTCCTCTCTTGCCTATTCTTTGGCAAAAGATTTCACAGCGATGTGCAGGGTGCTTTGGGTACTCTTCAAAATTAATAAAACATCCAGAAAAGTCTGTAGCTGTTTTCTAGTTCTGAATATGTCTTTATGCTGAAAGCATTGCACAAGCCTGGAGGAAAGAAGTGCTCTCCCTCCAGAGCAGTGTTAACCTTGCTGGGTGAGAACACCCCACGGCGCAGGTACCGCTGCTTCCAGCGGCGAGGCAAAGAGCCAAAGGCGTGCACAAGCCCTCATGCTGTCACTCAGGAGGGCTGGCCAGGCGAGGGGACCGGGAACCTGCTAATCCGTGTGAAAGCTACGCTGTGCCTTCCCTTGGGTAGAGCTAGGCAGTGTGAGCTACTCCATATTCCTATCAAAGTGCTATACTTTGCATTTAAATAGAGAGATGAGTTAACTGGGCCTTGAATCACACCTCGGTCAATGAGAGTCTTTCCACACATATCAGCACCTTTACAACTCCAAATCCAGGCTCACCTATTTTTCTATTTTCAGTTTCCCCTCTTGCTTTTACTTTCCCTGATGACTCGAACAGCCATTTCCCAAGCGCTAAGTGCACGTATGGTGTTATTGGTCTGCCTGGTTTCCACCCCCCATCACTTTTCTAATCATCACTGCAGTCCCCTGCGCTATAAATGCCAATGCTGACCGTCCCTCTTGGATTTCACTAGACAGCCTACAGCCAAGGAGTGGAGCAATCGGTAGTGCAAAGTTTAAAGGTTAGAGGGATTTGGAGCCGGAGCAGACAATGGAGCAGAGGCTGAAATCGATGCCCACAGCGAGTGACCTACCAGAATTGCAAAAGAGCACCCTGGGGCCAGCACGGGCTGGCAGCGGGGCCAGACAGCGTGCGCCTGCCAGCTGGCACGAGGGCACCAGCAGGCAGCGAGAGCAACCCCTCATCCCATGCCCTCTGCTGAGATTGCAAAACAGACTCCAAATTTGTACCTATTTGGCAACAAAACAAGAGCAAGACATGTAACAGAAAAAAGTCATAAGAGTCAATAAATTAAACGTGCTTACTTTTTATGGGATGGGAATAGGAAGATTGAGTTCAGGGGATTAATTTTTGCTTAAATTAGGGAAGTAGAAAAAGGGAGGAAAAAATATTTATCGCATAGGGATTTCTCCTGCAAAGATAGGAGCTGGTGTACTCATAACTCCCATTAGCCATTACCACTACAGAACAGAAATAAGAGTCTTTGAGGAATTTGCTAGCAGTAACACCACATCTCTCATTTCAGTAAAAGAGAAGATCACATATATGCAGGCAGTAAGGAAGCAAAGACCCCATTCCCAAAGCTAGAATTGGAGAATCCAACTTAACATATCAGTGTTAATTGTTTCATATCCCTTTTAACCCTGGTACTTGTAAGGCAAGGTATAAGGAATACAAAAACTGAATAGTTTAGGGGCTTGAAGACTAGAAGAGCTGCAATCTTGCTGTCTGCCTTCCTCTGCAGTACCGCCAACAAGACCTCACTTGCTAATTCTGCACCAGATGGATCATTTCTGCTCGAGGTATATCACAGCCATCAGAGAGACACCCAGTCTCCACTTCAAAGATTACAAGTGATGCAGATGATCACAACTGAAGGCCCTTCAGTGATCTCTCAAGGCCAGGCAAAGGGAATAATGAGTCCGCTCCAGCTGGTATTAGGACATCCAGCTTAATCAAGGTTTTGAAGACCCTCGCTTCCCACAGTACAAGCCTCCTCTTCAAGCAAAAGTCACTGCCAAAAGTCAATGTTAAGTGAAGATTTCAGAAGTACATTTATATACAATTTTCCTCAAGTATAAACAGAAATTGGGAAGACAAAAAAAAATTAAGCCAGAGCAGAAATAATTGCTTGCTTTTTTTCCTGTCCACGGGCCACAGCACCCTTGAGAAGCAGCAGGGGTTTGCTGGGGAGGCGAGCAAACAGCCCTGCTGCCTGGGAGCAGCAAAGCAGCTCTGAAAAAAGTGAGAGCTTGAATGGAGGAAATGCCTGACCACAACTGTCAGCCTGGAAAAGGACCTGACAGAGGACAGATGCTGCAGCCAGCCCAGCATCCAGGAGGACGTGATGCATATACCCGCCCGGGCCAGGGAGCTGCCCCAGTTTCACACCAACCAAGAGCTCCCAGCCATCCCTGAGCCCACAGAGGAGCAAAAATCTCTCCAGCCCAGCGAGAACACCAGCTCTGCAACATACGCGCTTACTGCCACATCTTGGCCTTTCAACTTGAAAGGGAATTAAAACCAGAAGAATACTGACTCACTCGAGCTGGATTTCACTGTAGAAAACACTGCCTCACCAGAGGTCTGCCATTTCCTTCCCTCTAAAGCATCTCTTCCAAGACCCTTTTTGCCCATCCTGCATTGAACCCACTCCCTTTTGAGCTCCTCCCACAGCAGTTACGGGGTTAATATTGCCAGACCGACAGAGAAAGGCTTCAGGAAGCGCTCACGGCAGGGACCTCACCTCTGTAGCGTTTTCAGCTCTGTGCTCAGGCAGGCTTATCCTTGAACCCTTACTCTGATTCGGTGGCAGCTTTGGAGCCTGGGAACCCGCAGCTGGCTGAAACGTTATCCTCCCCAGCACGATCTCCTGCCCCCGCACAACCAGCACAATTGAAAACAGTTGTTTGGTTCAGAAGCTTTTCCAAGTCTTTGTGAAAGGCCTGAAACGTTCCCATTTTTGACAAGTGAAATATGAGTTTAGTTGATAACTAAAAAGCCTGGAGATAGGAAGGCTTGGGATATTTTGGATGCAAAAGCTTCCACTTTGCCCCCACTGCTTCACACCCGAGCTTTGCTGCCCTTTCCCTGCTACCATGTTCACGCTCAGCTCCTCTTCCCTACCATGGGGATGGAGGAGCTACCAGGGCTCAAGAGGACACCACAGATGGTGCAATGACCCAACACGGTTGGAAAGGGGATAAATACCTGAAATAGGTGAAACACATCCCTGCAAAAGGGTAGGAAGGATAGGGACAGGTAAAGGCATTAGCATCCCTACGTGAGGTTTAGGAGGGCGGAGGGAGGAGGTGGACGTACCTCTCCGTGGGGCGTGCAGTATGTCTCGGGCTTGGTGAGGCCACAAGTGGAGGAGGCTCTCAGGTGATGGGCTCGTCCCAGCAGGAGGTCTCCGGCGGCGGGGTAGCAGGCTGCCTGGGAGCAGGCTTGCTGTGCGCCCAGCAGCCGCGGGGCAGCTGGAAGGGCAGGAAAACAGGGCTTGGGGTTGAGTGAGGGTGGCACACAGCCATCAACCAGCATGTCTGCTGTTTTCTACAACAGACCAACTGCAAGGGCATGGTTGGGACAAACCTACAAAATGCATATGCCAAAAAGGACAAAGGTATTTTGCTCCTGAATTACCTTTATTTTTAATAAGAAAAAGGCACTTTTAAAGTGCTTTGTACTAACGGTTATTTCTGAAACTCTTCTTTGCCATGACCCGTATTTGGGCTGCAGGGATGCTCAGTTCCCTGCCCATCGTACTGAACAGCCCTGTTTGGTGTTCCCTGTTTACCTATATAGCCAGCCATACAGCTGGTTGCTCAGGACAGAGAGCAGCCTTTTGCCAAACACCAGCACTATCATCAAATACCAGTCTCCCAGCTGCTGCCACAATACTGCTACTAATACAAAGCTTACATTAGCAGCATTTCTATTTAGTCAGCCTCCCCCATATCCTTTTAGAAACACTGTATGGCGAGTCTTACCCAGGAGGACAAATAATGTCCACGGCCAAATCTGGCAGAGAGACTCCATACCAGCAAGGACACGCCTAGGGAAGAATTAGCAGCATGAGCAAAAACGAGCAGAAAATGCCAGTCTAAAGCTCAGTCCAGGTCCTTCACGTTCCTTCTCAGTTTACAGGGAGATACTTTTAATTGATCTACAACAGAATAACATGGGTGCAAAATCAAGAATAATGAAGAGGAAAATCAGATGCTCAGACCGTATTTGGTTTTAACGTACAAAGAATCCCAGCTTTTCATCTAACTCATGAAGCATGCACAAGACTCTCCTGAAGTGTATAAGAGATTGCCCTGTTCCCCAAACACTATCTTTGGATCTTTATGTTATTGCTGAGGTGAACCACAGGTACCAGCACAGCACCTCACTCTCAGCAGAGGTGTAATTTCTGACTGCCTGGTTCCCCAGGGACACTGAGAAGCCGCAGCCCCCAGCACTATGATCCACAACGGGCAGGGGGATGGTGCCGATGCCAGGTCGCAGTGCACAGCTAGAACCAAAGCCCTAACGAGTGTCCACACACACACACACGCACGCACACACCCCCCATACACACCCCCACAGCCACCTCTTCCCGGGCATGCTGCACTTTCTGTTCTCCAGCCCCACCCTTTGCCCTGCGTTTCCAGAATTGATTCCAGATCAAAACTCGCCAGCGCACACGATGGCCCAAAGTCTTGTTCTATGAAAAGAAACCCGTAAAAATCACTGCAGAGTAAGTGTCTCCTGCAGAGAAGCCCTGCAGGAGAGTCCAGGGGAGGCAGAGCTGCCAGCACACCCCCAGCAGCCAGAAACCTCACCTGCCCTCTTCCCTGCGTGAGCCCACGCCACCCGGCAGCCAGTCTGCAACCGCAAGAGCCCTCTGAGCGCTGGCTCTCTCCTCTCCCAGCTTTTAACACGCAGCTGCCTCACCTGGGAGAGAAGGTGCCTGTGGGTGCAGTAATGATAAAGGGAGTGATTCAGGGATCTTCAGACATACACACCCAGTTACTGTATAACTCATGACAGCTCCCAGGCAGGGTGCACGGCCGCGGACATAAATGACTTCAGACAAGGATGACGGCAGCGTGAACCAGCTGCTCTGCAGGTAACCAGCAAGTGAAAGCCCATCTATAGGTAACCCCACCTGGGGCTCACATGGCCACCGCTGGGACATCGCCAAGTCAGCTTGAAACCAGCTCCCTCCAGAGCCACCGCACGGCTCGGCATCGGGCGATATACCCAAATGTTTACCCACCCTCTCAGACAGGTTTTGCGTATCGTGCTTAGCATTGTCTTGACAAGGCAGCACCGCTATCAGCACCTAAACTTCATCATTTAAAGCCTAATTAGGGATGACCACGAGTTATAATCACACTGTGTATTCACACATCAGACTTCAGCCTGAAGGCGACCTCGAGCGCAGCAGCTGGGCTTTGCAGGCAGACTCTGTCGCGCAGCCCCTCTCCTGTCTGCAGTACTGGAATTCCTCAAAACACAAACTATGTAAGATGATCTTGAGGATTATCTACAAAACGCAATCCTGTGAACTCACCAGCTGTGAAAGAAGTCAAAGAGTTGTCAAATTTTTTAAGAAACGTAATTCTTGTCTAGTACCTAAAAAAGTGCCAAGATTTCCAAAAGGACTCCGTTTATCGCACCAGGATAGTTTCCAATACCAGCCTGGGAGTGTGTGGAAGAGCCAGACCCCCAGCTGCATGCCCAACTGGTGAGGAGCCCTTCTCCCCTCTCAGAGGGGAGCTCTCTTGCACTTGACACTTTTCAGCGGTCACTGTTACTTTACATTAGTGTTAATGGAAACAGTATCATAAGTGGGTTTTGTTTTTTACTATGCCAGCAAAATAACAAATTTTTAACAAACCTGTTGAAACTAACAACTGTTCAGCGAATGCAGCTGGGAGTGCAGCTCAGAAGCTTGCACACAGCGACGCGAACCCCACCCCCCACACAGGCTCCCAGGCACCGCTCACGTGCTGCGTTTCAGCTAAACCGCAGTTTTTCATCCTCAGGAAAATTTACATCAAGCCTTTTCCATTTGCTTTACTGAAACGACCCCAAAATCACATCCTCTGCCCTGCTGGCGGGGGGGCTCAGCAGACCACGTCAGATGACTCCGAATCTTTGCTCCTGTTGCTTTGCTGTGTGTGCTACCTACCTCCCCGTCCTCCTGCTGAGCGACACAGGTGCGTGCAAGCTGAGGATCAGGAGCTCAGAGAAAGGGTACACACAGAGCTGGAAAAAAATATTGTCCCTTAGGCTACAGTACGTGAAACATTGGCTCAAGCTTCCGCCTCCGCTGAGGTGTGCCCGCAGCTCTGGGTGTGCCTGCCCTTACCCTGTTACCGCTCAGCAATGCGGTAACACCACATTCCTCCTCCTGCAGCAAAGATGCCTCCTCCCCATCTCAGCTGGCAAGCAAAAAGGAAGCGGGAAGAAACACTGGAACATTTTACAGAGAAAGCAAGAGATGAGAGGTGCCACGAGCTGCCGACACCATTCCTGCACCTGGCTGTGAGCAGACCCCTGCGCAGTCAAACCCATCAACAGCGTAACCTCGTGCAGTAAAGTGCTAACCACCTACCCCAGGCTCTGCGAGAAATCACTTCAAACTCTCTAACTTCCTCCTCTGGTGGAGTGACTACGCTGGAGAAGGCAAAGGAGAGGACGGTCTGACGGATTTGGGTTTCTGCACGGCTGCTGGTGATACTGGACGTGGCACTCTCACAAGCCTTTGCTAAACATCCGCTGCTGGGTGCCTGTTCTGCCTGGTTTAAGGCCATCCCCTAAAGCACTGGTAGTCAAACTGGGAGGCTGAAGCTGCTCTTGGAAAGACTGTAAATGCCACATATCGATCCTGCCAGAGCCTGCAATGCTGAGCATGAATTGCTCTGAAATGGTGATGCTCCACCCCAAATTACTGTAAAGCACAGGACATTGCAATTCTGCCACACAAACAAGGGTAGGACTCGAAAATGCTACCTCAACTACACGCTGTTCAAAAGCATTATCCAAAATACCTTGATCCATCCTTTTCTCCTCCAGCCTGCCCCCAGTGACTTGCCAAAGCAAGGTAAACCATTCACCTGGAATTTTAGGCTCTGCAAGTTCAAACAAGAACAAAAGCAAGGAATAGTCTCATTTACAGAATATCTACTGCAAATCAATAAAAGCATGAAAGAAAAAAAGCAGCTGTGATCAGCTGGGTGCTCAGGGACAGTGTGGCTCGGCGCAGGGGATCCCAGACACAGCCCTGTGCCCCTGACGGGACTCAGGAGATTCAGGCTCGAATGCTGCTCCAGGCTGTACTCTGCCCACTTTACCATGTACAGATGACAGTGTTGTCCTGAGTACCAGGGAGTGAAGATGCATTACGGATTGAGACACATCAAGACAGCAGGGCCAGCTAAATACAGAGGAGACATAGTGGTAAAAATGCACTACAAAAAATAAAATGAAAGCATTGGAGCAATCCTCTATAATCAGTGGAAGGGACAAGAAAGATGCTCTCAGGACTTCCAGTGCCTTTGCAGTTTAGCCTACAGCTGCACCAATCTGTGCCGAGCTGTGTCAGAGCCCACAGGCCTCGGAGGGCTGGGTAAGACATTCCCTGGAAAACAAAGAAAACTAGCTCCTGCAGGAAACTGTGCTCCGAGTCATGGGACATACCCTGCCCTAACACAGCGTTAGGGGACACAACTCTGCTGGAAGCATCTTCTCCAGGATGAGATGCGCAACCGGCTCCTGAGGAGCTCCCGCTCCCCACCGCACCATCACAGAGCCGCTGCCTCCTCGCACCCGGTAACGTTCATGTGGGTAGGATAATTTGAGCTCCTGCTCTGCAGCGCACGCGTGATCTGCTAAGCAGCTTCTCTATCCTATCCTGGATAGGACATCCTGCTCGACAGAGGCAGAAAAGCTCCGCATGATGCGATCCTGTACCTGTGGCAATGGGCTGGCATCAGATCTTAGTGCCAGCGGTGGGCTGACGGGGACACGCTTTAGAGGACCCTGTCCCTTCCACACTGGCAGCAACCAAGAAAGATGCTGCTGGCCTGGTTTTAAGTTTCAGGTGGAAAGAGGTCACAGCACTAAGAACAGAAATGCATCACAGCCAGCTGTTTAAAAGCAAATCTCCCCCTAAAAATGAGGGAGGGTGCAGAACAGCCATGTCAGCTGGGGACACGTGTCACTCAGCATCACAAGCTCACGTTCTGCAATGGCTAATACCTGCCAAGCCACTGCTTTTATAATTAAGGTCCTTAGCCAGCCAGGCA